CATATGGGAAAAACTTTTATTATTGACTCATTTTGAAATTCGAGTTGGACGTTAAGTTTTGCCTCAAAAAAGATGAAAAATGGCCTACTCAATCGGGATCACGTGACTTTCGCTACATGTCAAAAGTGACATTTTTTCAAATTAATCGCTGAAAGTAGGCTTATTTGTTCGAATATCGAGAAAGTTTACTTGAAAAAGTTGTTTCTATTCAAATTTTACATATGTGACTCGGATTTCATCTTTCTATTACATTTTTTAGATTTCGATATTTTTTAAAAATTTTCGAAATTTCTGTAATATTAAAAAAATTGTAAATTCGATAAAACTACTTCATTCCAGTAGTTTCATCATGCTACTAACTTTCAATTACTAATCATCACTAATTATCGACAAAGATATGATTTTCTTCAGAAAATGATAATCTCCGCTTCAAAATTCTGTTATGTTTGATGCAAACATAACATCAAAATTCTGTTATGTTTGAGTCGAGCATTCAGAAACGAAATTCATTTAATTCATTTTTCAGTACTGAAAAGATCAGTTTAAATGAATTTTGTTTCTGAATGCTTGACGATATATCAACTTTGCATCAAACATAACAGAATTTGAAAGCGGGTATTATCATTTTCTGAAGAAAATCATATTTCTGTCCATAATCAGTAATTGAAAGTAAGTAGCATGAAAAAGCTACTGGTATGAAGTAGTTTCGTGGAATTAACAATTCTCCAAATATTACAGAAATTTCGAAAAATTAAAAAAAAAACAAAATCTTAAAGTTGCAATAGAATGATCAAATTCGAGAAGCATGTGTACATTTGAAATAGAAACAACTTTTTCAAGTAATTTTTTTCGATATTCGAACAAATAAGACTACTTTCAGCGATTAATTTGAAAAAATGTCACTTTTGACATGTAGCGAAAGTCACGTGACCCTGATTGAGTAGGCCATTTTTCATCTCTTTTGAAGCAAAACTTGACGTCCAACTCGAATTCCAAAATGAGTCATTAATGAAAGTTTTTCCCATATGATGCCGACTTTATGAATGACACTGTATATACTTTGTTTGAAGCACTCCTCGCTCTACTTGTGGCACTCCAAACAACGCGTGCGACAATATGTCTCATTTTCATCCATTTGTATTTTTTTATTCATAAAAATGCATCAACAAAAACATCAGATATCAGAAATATATGAAGTACCTAAGTAGTTGGTAACAATAAATAAACCTTTGATAATCATTCTATAATCACACAAAACTTCGTGTCAATCGTCTCTGACAGTTTGAAGTTACCACTACCAACTTTGAAAGAAGAAATTCAGCGTGTCCTAATAGACGCTGTTTCGATACGCATTAGAAAATACTCAATCGATATCTATTGTATATCTAAATTCTAAACTCTATAAATTTACCTACAGCACCAAATTCAAAGAGCCTTGCACTTTGCTGTTGGGTATTTCAATTGAATGCAAAAGTTGCATAAGTCCAAGGATTATTAGTTTTTTATTATTATATAAACAATTACTGTAACAATTGAACGGTGTTATGAATATAAACATTCAATTATAATAATATGATGGAGGATATATTATGAGACCATAATTGACAGGAAAATGTAATATATACAGGGTGAGTCATAACTATTGAGACATGGCTGAGGGCGGATTGTTTGGACCAAAATATGGCGACAGGACCGATTATGCCTCAATAAAATATTGCTGTGCAAAAGATACAGGGCGTTGAATTCAATTTTTTTCCGTTTTCACGAATAATCTCACTGTATATAAGTACATCAATAATTGTACATTTTCATATTAGAAACAACCCTGCCGAGTTCTTCGAAAATTAGCCAAAAGTTATTGAGCTGAGAATAACAAACTATTTTTGTTATAAAAACTCCAAACTTTGCATCTCGAAAACGAAGCTTCAAATCATACAAGTTTACATGAACTTTTCTCTTCTTTTTTATGAATTATCTATCGTCTTTTGAATTTTACCGATTACAATCGGGAACAACTTGTAGAATGGCTAGGTACCGTGCATGATCGTCAGACATGAATTCTTTCATTCTATATACATTTGACTGTTATGGACTAGAAGAAAATCACTATATATCAATTTCGATGTTTCAAATAAAACATCCAGTATAATTTTCGAAACCAGAATTCACGGAATATGTTGATTATATAAAAATATTATTTACCTATACCTACTTATTATTTCTGATAATTATAAAAAATGGCAATTCGATATATCATTGATTATACAGTGTCTTTCAAAAGTATCGGAACGGTCTCATATTTCAGGAACGGCTTGAGAAAAATAAATGGGGTATTCCATTTGAAAAAATAAAGTTACTCCTAATATCTGAGAAACTGTAAACTTGGCAACATTGCCGATGCCACCATTGAATCGGACATCATCAATAATCACACTGTAGAAAATTTCGTGAATTTTTCTCAAGCCGTTCCTGAAATATGAGACCGTTCCGATACTTTTGAAAGACACTGTATAATTATGATGATCTCGATATAAAACAAATTAGCGTAGATACGATTTTTGCAGCCTTTCCGGAGTTCCTGCTGAATATGTGATGGAAATATCCTTTCCGGTTTAACATGAAGTTCAGCTGAAAATTTAACTTCAGGTTCACATTACAGCAATAACATTTTTTTCCTTGTGATTAGCACTTGTGAATTTTGATTCGTAGAATTTTGTTATTCAGAAGTAGGCTGATGTTGAACACATGTGATTTAGAAATATGTCACTGATATTATCCCCCGTATGAGATGAAATTTGTTGATGCTCCATTTTTTGGCAATAATGGATTTCGACTAAAGACAAATCCTATAGGTTAGCTTCATTAATTACAAAACGATCAATATGACATATTTTCGATCATTATTTTTACCAACTTTGACAGCTATGAACGCCTCTGTACAATGTTATGGTATGTATACAATGTATAGTAGGTACTGTTTCATTGTACATATGCGTAGACCAACATTCAGTATAAAGAACTTATTTCAATTGTTGGCAAATTAACTGTACAAGTAATACCATGACACAGTACTTACCATCACCAACAATTTAGTCAAAGATTTCAATAAATTTTGAATCTTCCATTTGCTCTCTTGCGGATATGGATCAACCGAATTTTAAAAAAATCACCGTTGTCCAGATATTTGAAATACCTATTCAACAAGTGAGGTACGCAGTTTTTGAAAGGTATCAGATTAGTATAGATGTAGTTTTCATTAGGCATTAGATCAGTATAGAGGTCAGATAATTTATACAACGCTATAAAAGCAGATGATATTTTATCATTGCACATGTAAGATGGAAGTAGAGGCCAAGGCACCATATCATGAGCATATTTTTATATTGAAACTATCATTGGGCACCAAAGATGTGTATACGACGCTATGAAAGTTCAGAGAACTGGAGATTTTTCCCACAAACTACGAACTTAGCCCACTCGACTGTCTTGGTTTTTCCAAACAAACTACGTTCCTAGCCCACTCGACTCGACCAATAGGGACTAAAAAAACAAAAACAAAAGAAAGTTAAAACAATGCCAACATATTTCTTCTTTGTGGGTAATCAAGATAGTCGAGTGAGCTAGGTACGTAGTTTATTGGCGAAAAATCAAGACAGTCGAGTGAGCTAGATACGTAGTTTATGGGCAAAAAATCAAGACAGTCGAGTGTGCTTTTTTTACTTTCTTTTGTTTTTTGTTTTGTTTTCTATTGGCAAGTGATTATCTAGGAACTTGTAAATTTTTTAGTTTTTTCATCGTATCTTCCGAACTATTGCATTCAGAGAAAAATGTTATACGGATTTTTTGTAGATTCTATCAAAAGGAATAAATTTGGTTCCATAACATTTTCGGATATTTTCAGTTGTTTTCGAGATATTTGGAATTATCTGAGAATAAAATTTTCAACACTCTTGTTCCATCTTCCAATCAACAAAAGGAAAAAATATTTCATGGTTCAGTGGAAGGCGATGAGCTTCATCTATTGATAATCTTTTGTTTTTCAATATATCTTCATGGAACCCTATGGGTACTATTGGGTTTACAGAAAAAATTATGGGAAATAATTTGTAGGAAATGTTCCAGTGGATAACTTTGCACTCCTGATAATTTTCGATTTTTCCATTTGTTTTCGATATATATTGAATTGAAAGGATTTCGAATTTTGATGTTTTTATTTTCATTTGTTTTTCCATTTTCCGATGGATGCACGAAAAAATTGTGAAATAATAATTTGTTGCGTCATCAAAGAGGCATACGGTGCATTTTTCAAATTTGGATTTAGTCTATTGGTTCGTGAGATATGTCGTTTTAGAGCGAACCATGTGTTTCGGAAAATCTCCTTGAAAAACACACTTGGAATTTTTCGACCCTGCTCAATTTCAATAGGCTTCGTCTCTCCCTGATAGAGTTTTTTTTCGCAAAAAATGAAATCGTTCGGACCACTTTTGCGATTTGTAGAGTGGTCACAAGAAACTTCCGGTGACAAATCGAAAAAAACCGGAAAAACCTCCTTAGAGTTTTGCTATTTCCTTCATATTTTAATGACATAATATTGTTTTGAGTACAATAACATGGCAAAATTTCAAGTCGATATGTCAAAGGGTTCCAGACCACACACAAAAACCAAAGTTGCTCAAAATTCGATGGGCATCATTTTCTCCAAAGTAACTATACCTCTATATCTCGCTTAGTTTCCGAGATAGCATTTTTGGCAAGGCCGTAGTATACTTCACTATGTATAGCGTCGTATAACAAGGTGTAACTTATTGACCCCTTGTACAATTTGAAAATCTTGAAGGGGTTGATCTGTAGGGCAGGAGATTGGCAGGTGGTTGAATGTTTGTATGTAAAAAAAATAGATCGACCTGTCCGAGGACTTTTCAACATATATTTTTGTTATGGAAGTACGGATCTTATTACATCATAGGTTTCCACGCTGTATGATTTCAATATTGTTTCAGATGAATCGAAGACATGTCGACGAACCTGTCAAACCGATCAAGTTCCTCCACCACTCGCCATCCCTCAAAGCCATACGAGCGTACAACGACCTTCCTGTCGAGGGTGGTTTCCAAAACGGCATCGACTTGTGCCTCTTTTCGCCCCAAAAATACGACTCTGCCAGCGTTTCCAGAATTTCGATCGGCAGCGACACCAAATCGAACGAAAACAACTTATACGAGTACGCCACGATGGGCACTCTGTCTGTGGCCAATTCCATGTCAGAGCTCAATTCGGAAATCCACGAAATGGGATCGACGTTGAAACTGGTACCGTCCAAAATGGAGTTGGTGAGTGAAAAACTGAACAATCCATAAGAATAGCTATTTGTGTATTCAGAGCGCAAAGTTATAGATTGCCGCTGGACAAAGATAAATACCGCGCGACGTGTAGTGGAACGCTTTAATCTTTGGAGAGCGCCATAATGACAATTTGTGCTCGAAATACACACCAGATTTTTCTATACAAACGCAGCTCTTAACAAAAAAGAAAGGCAAATAACAAATTGGTTAAGAAAGGCTTCCCGCTTGAGATTGAATCCAGACCAGCCGCTAGTTTGTGAACTGATGCACTTCAGGACTTAGGTCATATATGACTACTTTGATAATAGTCCCAAATTACACTATTTCGTACCAAGAAATACAAAGAGCTATTTTTTTATTTATTCGGCAGTAGTAATAGTTGTTAGACATCGAACAATATCAAAAATCACCTAACCTATGACTTATACCTAACTTATTATACTACCTATCCTGCTGCACAATGCACGATGGCATTCAAAATGTTCCGAGTCCATCTCTAAACATTTGTAGTTTTCTATGCTATAAGGCTATGACATATCACAGTTTTGGTATTCAGTTTATTGTTATCATTCCTATCAATGAAGTTTATCAAAAATTAGTTTATCATTCTCTCTAATATGATAATGAATCATTGTTCAATTATATAATAAATAAATGAAACGGGTTTGCGGTACATAAATAATCAAAAGGCATTCGACCTGATCCACTCAGTTATTTCTTTTTTATATTTATAATAAGGTTTCAATCTGAGTTGCTGTGGTGGATTATTAAATACTTCTGGTCCTAGACAATATATGCTCGGGGTTTTGCAGTGCTACATTATTATTACATTTCTGGTGTCCAAGCCATGTGCTAAATATTTTCCTTATAGTATAATGTTTTTAGCATAAATCTAATAGGTAATTGCTTCACAGTGGAGTTGACTTGGAGTTTATAGGTCTGTTCGAAACCCTCCTAACAGTGCAGTGTAGAGGGAGTGTGAAGTGTGGAAGTGTCATAACTGATTTCGTCGTTAGTTAACCGTTAAATCTTGTGGTTTTGGTTTTGAATGTTGAATATTTTCTGACATAAAATGGCATACTCGAATATTTTTGGACGATTCGGATGAGACATCAGAATCTGATTCTGAAGAGGATTTGGTCGTGAGGCAGAGGAAAATGTTGGGTCGCCAGCATAATATGTGCATGTGTGAGGGTTTACGAACAGACCTTATAACTTGCTTTCTTCATACATCAAGTTAGTTGGATATCGTTTTTTTTTATAATCCATTTTTGGGCAATTTGAAGGGTATTCGTTGATCCTGCTCTACCCCCAAACTACTATTCCATAGTTGATAATGGATTCCACTAGGGCAAAGTATACTATTCTCAGAGTTTTTAGAGGCAACATATTTCTCAGCTCATAAAATTTGAAGATTAACTTTCCAATTACATCTGTTACATAATTATCATTTTCTTTCCATGTCAACTTCTCATCGATAATAACCCCCAAGTACCTTTATACTGTTCTTTCTTTATATGACCCTGTCACACTTACAATTCAATGTCGAGTCACAATCATAAAGTGAGTATTAATTGAAAATCGCCTTGATAAATTTAGATTGTTTGATTCTTCTCCGAAATAAGCAAGTTACACGTTTTCTGAATATTCATTCGTCTTCTTGGAGTGACACCATTTTATGAATGACTATTTGAATTCATATTTCTTCCTTGATTTCTCCAAAGGGCGAAAAAAAGATTCGAAATAAGTTACAACGTTCATACTTTCTGCTAGATCAGGGTGTATGTTGTCGAATGTTTGATAGTTCACTGACAGTATTCTTCAATATGCAAGTGGGTGGGAGCTGGCAGCGATGCGAAGGTTCTTCATTATTTGGGCTCACTCGCACAAACGCTGTCAAATAATGACATTTCATCAGCCCCAGCCGTAGCAGTACTGATGACGTCCAAGGCGAAATACTGAAACGGCACCCTTTCAAAAATATTCGTACAAAATAAATAAAAATATATGACTATTTTTCCAATATACCTTTGTAGTAAGGGCAAATCAGATGTATTAAAAAGGAATATTCTTAGATATAATCAGGAACATGAAAAAATTGATTGACGTGGCATCGTAGATTTGGTTGATTTAATAGTGCTGAATGGAGTGCCTCGAACAACTCATAACACGCCCTTCAAAGAGTGTGGACACGCTTGTCACCACTGACATTTCCGAATTGTCATCATTCTCAGTTTTGAAACGTCACTTTTAAAAATTGCCGAGGCGTCCCCGCGAAATGTTTCCGAAGATATGTCTTGGTCGGTAACAAATTGCAAAAATCCTAAGAATGATGGTTACCATTTATATCAGAGAAGAAGAAGAAGAAGAAAGTCTTTATTGTACTAAAAACCTAAAGTTTTTGTTGACAAAGCATGTGTATCATAAGCTATAACTAATATTAAAACTACATAAAATCATGTAAAATATATAAGGAACAAAACATTTAAGTCGAACATATACTGGTAAAAGTCACACTATAAAAAAAGGTATTGAACAATTAAAAACGAATTATACAAACTGACAAACTTAATTAAATGCGTCTTCATAAAATTCTTGCAAGGTATAATAGGCTTTATTCAGTAGTAGCTCTTTTACTGCCTTTCTAAACTTAATATGTGTTAGCAATGAACGAATATGTGAAGGCAGGTGATTAAACATTTTTTTGGCATTATAAATAAAAGACTTTTTTATTAATGTACTTCTAGGAATCAGTAGGGAAACCGTACAGTCAACATTTCTTGTGTTGTATACCGACATCGAATGAATGTTCGTGGTATATTTTTTGTGGATCATACATACACTCTCTAGAATGAAGATGCAAGTCAATGTCAGTATTTTCTGAGCCACAAATAAGGGTTGACATGGTTCTCTGAATTTAGCTTTACTAAGGTATCTAACCGCCCTCTTTTGTAAAATGAACACAGAGTTCAAAAGAAATTGAGAACTATTCCCCCAAAAACAAACTCCATATCTCAAAATTGAGTCAATCAGGGCAAAATAAACTGATCTTGCTGCAGATATATTCAATTCAGATGAGATGACTCTTACTGCAAAACAACCAGAAGATAATTTTCTGCATAAATTTGTAATGTGGGTGTTGAATGAGAGACTGTCATCCACATAGAGCCCTAAAAACTTAGCCGAGGATTGAGTACAAATTCTTGAGTTTTCCAGAAGTATATCATTAAGAGTACACTTGAACGTCAAAATACATGTTTTAGAAATATTGAATGATAACTTATTCGCATCACACCAATTTTTTACTTCCAATATATCTTCAGCGACATAGTTACTCAGTTCGTCATTATTGTTGCTATGCCACAGTATTGTGGTGTCATCTGCGAACATAGTAAACTTTCCTCTAATAGTGATATTTGCTAGGTCATTTATATATATTAAAAAAAAGATTGGTCCAAGCACAGATCCTTGAAGGACCCCACACTTCACTAACTGAGACCTGGACTTTATTTTGTTAAGCGAGACTATTTGAGTACGCTCTGATAGGTATGATTGGAACCATCTTAGTGTAATATCTCTAAAGCCATAAATTTCTAATTTTTGAAGCAAAATTTCATGATCAACACAGTCGAATGCTTTTGAAAGGTCGCAAAAAACTGCTGCAACTGCGTCACCATCGTTTATGGTGATATATATATCCTCTAATAAAGCAAACATAGCATCGTTTGTATTTTTAGCTGTTTGAAAACCGAACTGGTAGGTGCTTAGAGTGCGATTATGAAGCAAAAATGAGAACATTCTTTTTTTAACTAATTTTTCAAATAACTTAGCCAGAGTTGGTTAAAGTGAAATTGGTCTCAGATTTGATACTATGTCGCAGTCTCCTCCCTTAGGTAAAGGACTTATTATGGCTATCTTGAGACAGTTCGGGAAAATCCCACTCAGAAATGATTTATTGATTGCCTCTGCTAAAACAGTCATAGCATCATCTGGTAGATGGAGTAAGACATTAGCTGAGATCTCATCCCATCCAAAAGTATGTTTATTTTTAAAATTCAAAGACGAGGAGACATTTCAAGTGTCCGTTAAAGCTTCATTTTTCAATATTCATTCAATAAAAATACATTCAATATGATGTAATATTGATATAACTACAGAGTGAGCTTTATGTACCTTTGGTGTTACGCCACTGAGGGTTTCAAATAATCATATGTCTGCACTCTCTCAATGAAGAGGTAAAGCAGAACAAAAATATATTCCATCTCCCATAAAACATATTTGTGTCCCTTGTTTTTTGTTCAGCACAAGTGTGAACACACTCTTCAAAGGGCATGAAATGAGATGATCGAGGCAATCTATTGCTGACTTAACAAAACTGAAGATTGGAGCTGTGATAGGCCTACATTTTTATTAGGACAGTAAAATGAATAAGTATGATCTGTATAACATGCAATGAGGGTAAAGAAACACGAAAATCGTTTCCAACGAAGGGTTCTAGATCAAATGAATTACTGGATCTGATTCATATGGATTTATGTGAGCCAATGGAGGTTCAATCCCTTGAAGGAGCCAAGTATTTTTTGGTGTTAGAAGATGACCACAGTCGGATTTCATCTGTATACTTTTGCTTGCTTTTTCTCACCAGCAATCCTGATCCATATATAGAATAGAAGTTTGTGCCCCAGTTGGAAACTCTGACCACACTCTCATCTCCACAACCTGCTCTTTCCATGTACCATCTAGCACCACAATTCCTACTCGTCTCATGTGGCATTACAATTCGGCCGACTGGGAAGGTCTTCGTATGTGTTTTTCAGCGTTTCCATGGGAGATAGTTTGTTTCTCCTCGGCAGATCCAATACGATGTGCTGAGACAATTTCTGAAATCATCATGTTGGGGATGCAAACATACATACCGAACACTGCAAGGAGATCATCTTCCGATAAGGCCTGGTTCAGTAGAAACTGCTCTAGAGCTATCGCTTCCA